GACCAGCGAAGCCGCGAGGCAAGGTGCCAACATAGGGTAGAACCGTTGCGCGCGCTCGTTTCTTTGCATGGTCGCATAGCCACTCACGATTGTCGATGTTTGGAACAATGAAAGCCGCCGAGCCGACCGCGGCCACTTCTAGATCCAACCAAGTAGCCGAGGAGAACGAGAGAGCCGAAGTCGTCGAGAGATTTACGCCGTATGCGACGTGCATGAAGTGCGCCGCACATGCCCTGCAACGCGGCGCACTGAAACCTAGAACATCACCCGCGTGCCGACGGAGCGCAACATCATAGCACTCATGGGGCGGTAGTTGTGGAAAACCTTTCTGACTGTAACTGTATTGATCATATCTTGCCCAGAACTCCTGCGCCACGAATGCCACCCACGAATTGGAAGGCCCTGTAGCTCGAAGATGATCCCGAAAACGCTAACCAGGGAAACCAGCAATAGTCCGATCGGGCTAGGAAGACATCCGACATCGTTATGCGAAAGGAGCCTGGCGGTACAATCGACTCGAACATGGCCAGGGATGTCACCGATGGGTGGGCCCTCGGGCGTCTTCCTTCCCGTGCAAGAAAGGCCTCGGAAGGTGCAGCCGACTGGATTGAATGTTTCAAGAGAGACCATGCTGATGCGATACCTGTCGCGCCACACTGCTCGCAAGCCTGATCTGCGTCGCATAGAACAACGCTTACCTCAGAGACTGCACAGCCACATCGACGACCACGGCGCAGGGGGGCCGCGAGGAAGTCACAAGGGAACGAACATTATCAGCTGCAGACCTGCTATCAAAACACTCACATCCAGCGTTCGACCACTTCAGGAAACTCCGAGCGGCACGCCCAGTGCTGCGAAACCCAAACATGCAAGGGGATCCCGAGGTATCGACTACCCTCCTGCAATAGCTGTTGGCCACTTTCCTGCAAAGCCGGTCACCTTTACACCAAAAAAGCACTTCGTCTTGACCAATGGGAAGACGATCGGAGGGCGGGAAGGGGCCCGGGGGTGCGGGGCTGGGATGGAACGCGAAGCCATGCAGGCAGGGGTGACAGCGCCCTTGCCCACACCCACGTGCAAGCGTCTGCCTCTGAAAAACCAAGACGATGTTTCCATGCTGGATCTTCTCAGATCGACTGGAGCTGGTAACGGACCAAGTCTGGGCCATTCGGGGACCAGGCGCGATCGGCATTTTTATCACCACCGATGATGACGCAAAGCTCTGCGTCCTGCAACGCGACCGACATCGCCTGCTCAAGTTCGCCCCGCGCGGATGGCGCCTCGTCCGGCAGCGGGCCTGCGGGGCCGGCGGCCCGCGATGGGGCCCGCGATGAGGATGGGGATATCGTTGCAGTAAACGTAGAACGCTTGCGCGGGGTTGGAGATCTCGCCTGCGAAGATGGAATGCTTGCCTGGCTTGGGCCGTCGCGTAGTCAGGCGAGCGCGCGGCGTAGCTGAGCGAGGTGGATCCCAGCGCGCTGGCCCCAGTTGTTGACAATCGCGGCGCACTGGGCAATGAACAACTTAGGAAGGCGCCACCGTGGATGACTCCACAGTCCCTGTATGCGCCGAAGCCCATGAAAGGGGGGGCGCGTGCAGCTCGCCCGCCAAGGTAGGTCCTTCACCTTGTAAGTGCGGCAGACGGTCGGTGCACTGACCCGATCCTTCCATGTTGGTCGGCGCCCAGCGGTAAGCCTGGGCGTGCTCCGAATCCATTTCCGGGGGCCCTCCAGCTTGATGGGGGATGCCAAATGCATGACCTCCGGGCGAAACCGCCAAAGATGTCGCCCCCGTTTCAGCTCGCACGTGGTAGCATGCACGAGGACGCGCATGAAGGAAGCCGTAGACGCTTCAACATGGCGTCGACCACCTTGCGCGCATGGAAGACTCGGTTGTGCGAATGGAAAAGACCAGGGCCCAAGGTAGCGGCTGAGGTGAGGGAGGGCGCCAACTGCTGCACAAGCCATCGCGGTATGCGAAGTGGGGCATGCGACCGATCAAGCCACGCCAGGGGTAAGCCAACCCGATGGCGTTCCCGCAACCAAAGTGGGCCACTTCCCCCCTGCGTCGGTAAAGCGCTGGTGCTGCTGCGCCACGTGGAGAGCAGAGAACGGAGCATTGTCAGGTAGGACTCCAAGAAGGAGGTCAGCTCATGCAATAACCGCGCCGAAGAGCGCCAAACTGGTGCGAGATCTGTTCGAAGTGACTGGAGCCCTGGGGGCACGCGGGCACGCGAAATGCGCGTGCGCCGTCGGCGCGGAGGGCGTCTGCGGGGAGCACGGTGAAACCGAAAGCCTTGTAGAAGGTGATCTCTTTGAGGGGCCTTCTGCTTAACATGCTGCGAGACATCTATTCGGTGACATAGCGGCTGGTAACGTCGAATCACCAGAGTCTCGCAGTGATAGGCCGCAGACCCCATCGGTATAAACAGCGAGGGTATGAACGCGAGGTCACCGAGGCTTCTGCGGAGGATGGCGTATCTGGGTCCATCCCCATACGTCGGGAATATAATACACCTGAGATGTTCTGATCGGCGGCCTGCAACACCAGATATCCCCGCTCGGTTGAGGTTTCTCTTTCTCCAGAATACATGCCAACCAAATTTGACATGATGTAGACACTCGATGACAGCTCCACCGCACCGTGCGTGATGAAAGAAACTGGTGCTTCCCTCGCCCACTGTGCCACGCGGCCGTCTGGATGCGAATGGCTGCAAAGGTAGAACCATTCCGTCGGTAGCAATCGAAGAACACCCGCCGCCCACAATAGAACTGGGGACTGTTGGTAAGCACGGTGAAGACGTACGATACCCGAAACGACCATGATTCTCGCAAGTGCCGAGAAGAGGGGCTGCCCTTGGAGGACGGGCGCCTTCCCACCACGAAAGAGAAACACGGAGAGGGTGGATAGCGCCGTTGGAGTCGGAAGCAACGACCATGAGAACGCAACAACGCCTTGAAACCGAAGCCCAGGTGGCCTTGGAGGATCAAGGAACAGAGCACGCTGTAGAAATGCCTCGGCCGCGGCAATACCAGCTGCACACTGCGCTGGACGGGGAACTTCGAAACGGCAAGGTGGATATCATCGTTCGTATCATCAACAGCTGCATGGCAAGGAAGACATAAGAGGAAAAGTATACATGCAGCAAGCCAGCACCTGTGACCATAACGTTCCATCTCGAGGGGGGGGCCGAGAACGGAGAGTTTGCATGCCTGAAGGGGTCTGGCGAGCGGCGCCATCAAAGTTGGTACCACCAACTTCCTGGGGATGATGATGCCGGGGAATGCTAGGGAAACAAAAAGTCACATAAACATAAAAACTCGGAGGTCCGCGCAGATTTCTCGGATCGGCGCTGGACCCCCCTCCCTGGCGCGCGGAGCGCGTCAGGGGCGGCGCCGGAGGCGCCGCCGGGGGGCCCCAGCGCCGATCCGAGAAATCTGCGGGGACCGCCGAGTTTTTATGTTTATGTCATGGTTTGTTCCCCTAATACGGCTGCGGCAGTCCATCTGCACCCGGACCATCCTCTGGCTCTGAGGATGGTTTCCTGGCTAGATACGCCGACTGCATAGCCAGCGTGTAAGTCCGATCGTAGTAGAGTCCTCTGCACCATGCTGTGAAACGTACCCTGTATGTGTCGTCTGTGACCGTGAAATTCCGAGCATGCCGAATATCCCTGGGATTGCAAGAATCTGATCCATGCGTACTTGAATGTTGACTGCCATGCCAGAAAGTCGTCGTCGCGGACGAAACGTAAAGAAAAAAACGGAATTGGTGTGCACCTTCGAAACGTACCCAGCGATGGGGTCCGCGGCCACACCGTTTACACAGAAGCGCGGCCTGTGGGCGGTGATATGGCGGCTACCATTGGCGAAGAGTCTGTGGGACACCTGTTTCCTTTCCTGGACGCTGCTCGGCGAGACGGTCAGAGTCGCGAGCTGTGAGCACCATGTGGGCCGTCGAGTCGCCCGAGCTTGAACGTCAGCGGCAGCGGAGGCAACAGGAAATGCTCGTACATGCACGAGGGGACCAAAAAGGACAGGAATGGATTGGACCATGGTCTTGAGAGAGGGAGGATGTGGAGGAGGAGGAGGAGGAGGAGGTGGACGAGGAGGAGGAGGAGGAGGCAAGGACCACACACCCAGTCCCAGATACACGGGGCAGCCTGACCCGACGACTGGGCTCAGCGCGCTGCGCCGAAGGGAGCCTCGGCGCCTCCGAGTGGCCAACCAGGCCGAAGCGGGCTCGAGGGGAAGGTGGTCAGGAGCAGGGACCACACACACACACCTGGAGCCCCACTCGAAGGGAGCTGAGGAAAGGTGGACAGGCGTGCGACACACCCACGATCCGCTGGGGCCTGGGGAAAGGTGGTCAGGAGCAGGGACCACACACCCAGGCCCAGCCGAAGGGGGGCAGCCTGCCCTCCAGCGGCTGGGCTCAGCGCGTCGGGCGCAAGGGAGCCCAGCCGCCGCCGAGTGGCCAACCTGGCCCGCGGCCCGCGAAGAGGCCGACGGCCAGGCCGAGTGCCGCGCTGCTGGCGCAGCCTGACGCCCGCGGGCGAGGGCGCGCGCGGCGCCCGATCATGGGCCCTTGCGGGCTCCCCTTTTAAACCCGGCCTCCTCTCCTCCCCTCCCATCCTCGAGGTTGGGTTCCCGGGGCCGCCGTCTGAGTGCCCGCACGGTCCCCATGGGCTGCTGTGGCGCGCTCCGCGCTCCAGGCGCACGTGAGACGCTGCTCGGAGCGAGAAACGCAGAAACGCTGGAGGAGAAGGAGAAGGAGAAGGAGGAAGAGGAGGAGGAGGAGGAGGAGGAGGAGGAGGAGGAGGAGGAGGAGGAGGAGGAGGCGGAGGCGGAGAGGAGGAGGAGGGAGGGAGTAGGAGGGGGGAGGAGAGGAGGAGGAGGAGGAGGAGGAGGAGGAGGAGGAGGAGGAGGGGAGGAGAGGAGAGGAGAGGGAGGAGGAAGGAGGAATCACGCGTGACGTCGACCCCCCGCCCGACGCGCGGCCTCCTGCGCCCTCTGCAGCAGCTGCCGCGCCGCCGCCCCGATGCCGCGCAGCTCCTGGGGTCCCACCGCGGGGATCCCCCCACACCGGGCGAGGGGGAACGACCGGCCTTCTCCTCCTCATCCATCTCAATGTCCTCCTCCTCCTGCTCCACCTCCTCGATTTCCTCCTCCGTCCTCCTCCTCCTCCTCTCCTCCTCCTCCTCCTCCTCCTCTTCCTCGATATCCATACCCGCCTCCTCCTCCTCCTCCTCCTCCGACTCCTCCGACTCCTCATCCTCCTCCTCCACCTCCTCGTTCTCTTCCTCCTCTTCCTCCTCCTCGTCCTCCTCCTCCAGTATTATTATTAGTATTAGTATTAGTATTATTATTAGTATTATTATTAGTATTATTATTATTATGAGTATTATTATTATCATTATTATTATTAGTAGTAGTATTAATATTATTATTAGTATTATTATTATTATTATTACTATTATTATTATTTTTATTATTAGTATTGTTATTATTGTTATTATTATTATTATTATTATTATCATTATCATTATTATTACGCTTATTAGTGTTATTATTAGTATTATTAATATTATTATTAGTATTGTTATTATTATTACTACTACTATTATTATTATCATTTATTACTTTTATTAATAGTATTATTATTAATAGTATTATTACTATTAGTATTACTATTGTTATTGTTATCATTTTTATTATTATTATTATTCCTCCTCCTCGTCCTCCTCCTCCATTATTATTAGTAGTACTCCTCCTCCCTTCTCCTCCTCCTCCTCGTCTTCCTCCTCCTCCTCCTTCTCCTCCTCCTCCCCCCCCTTTTCTCCTGCTGCGCCCGCCCAGTCCTCCCCACCGCCGATGGGCAACGACAGAAAGGGCCTGGCTCTGGGGAGGGGGCATCGAAGCTTCGAGGTTCGAGGCGCTGAAACTTTCGGACGCTCTCGTCGGTGCCCTGCGGCTTTCTAGAGGGGCGGGATACTTTCCAGCCTCTGCGCTTCGCAGGGAACACTCCAGGGCTGCCCAGATCGTCCCAAACGGCAGCCGGGAAGCCGAGATATGACACGAAAGCCAGCGGGCATCGACATGGGGGATCGGCTTCAATGGGGGGAGACGTCGACCTGGAATCGATGATACCTCGGTGACAAATCCGCGGCAGGCTCCCGACAACGAGAACGCATAATCCTAGGCGGGGTGGGCTGTCAGGCCCCTAACCACGATAGGTTGTTAGGACCCCCCAGTCGTGGAAACTAGTCATTTGCTCGGCGATAGAATCGACGGACTGGGATCCAGCCAATAATAGAACAGATGCATTTCTCCGCGGCACCCGCCGCACAACAGCATCGACCACGACGATTACGACTACGATTACAACTATGACTGCGACTGAAAACGCGACTACGATTACGACTAGAATCGCGACTACAACCACGATTACGATAACAACTTCAGCCACGACTAAACTCACGACTGCAAGCACAACGGTCGATTCCGCTTGCAATCATCATGAAAAGATGCTCGCGCATCCTTTCCCGTGCAGGGTAGCCCACAGTGTATTACTCCGTGGGAGAAACAAACCTGGACACGACCAAGCCCACCCAACACTAGAGGGACACAAATATCCGCCGCAACAACAACGACGACGACTACGATACGATGACGACTACAACCACGACTACAGTCGCGACTACAATCACGACTACAAGCACGATTCCAGGCACGAGTACAATCACGCAAACAACCACGACCACTGATTTCGATTGCAGTCCCCACGAAAAGATGCTCACAAATCCTCTCGCGTGTGGGGTAGCCCACAATGGATACACTCCCTGTGACAAAAGAAGAGCATGATGCAGCCGCGCAACAATACAGGGAACGTAATCTCCGCCGCGACGACTACGAGAACCACCACGAAGGTCATCGGGAGGAAGACGGGGACGAGGAAGAGGAGGAGGAGTAGGAGGAGGAGGAGGAGGAGGAGGAGGAGGAGCGGGAGGAGGAGGAAGAGGAGGAGGAGGAGGAGTTCGGGTACCCTGGGGGACGCGAGTCTTCACTTGCGCCAAACGAGGGCGCGAACAGCAGCACTCGCCGAGGCTAGGCTATCGGGTGTCGGCGCCATGTGTAGCTTCATTGTGTTAAACGTGTGGAGAACCAACGCTATGCGCTGGCAGGTGCGATGCCGCAGCTAAACGCTGTCGCGGTCAGCAGCGCAGGCTGCGTCGCGGCCCAAACCTCCGGCCGCGATTATCGAGCGGCGGAGAGGCAAGTCGGGGGACCACAGGCAAAAGACGAGGACAGGACAGGCAGCGGGGAAACGCACCTGCACCCTGGGGGCAGCCGAAGACGCGCGCCCTCGGCGACAACACGTGCATTCTGGCGGTAGTGGTCCACCCTCCATTTAAGGAGGGTCTTGAAGACGGCCCGGCGCCAGTTCGGGCGGAGACCCTGGAAGGTCCTGGATAATGATAATGGTTCCCACCGTGCGGAAAAATCCATGGGAGGCGTTTGGCAAGCCTGACGGTGAAAAGGCGATGAAAACCAAGCCTTGCGCAGCGAGGTGGCGATCGCGCGCTGGACGCAGGCACGGCGCAACAGGTCAGCGGCTGTTGCCGCCGCGACCTCGGCGCTGCCCGCGTCGTGAGCATCACGGGTCCCACGGGCCGAGAAAATGCCGCTGCGCTGGCCAGAGGAAAGGTTGGACTAGTACTGAACGGTAGAGATGGGCTGAGCCCAAAACGGCGACGACCAATGTCAGCTGTTCCATCGATGGAAGCTGTGGACAAGGTTTTCATCCCACGCAGCGTCGCGCAGGCGGGCACAAAAAACCCTGTCGCCGCGTAGTGTGACCGAAGCGGAACGCATAGCGGCAGCAACGGTGACGATCTGCATTGAAGCTGGGACTGGGGCAGGAGGCCACACGGCCATTGCAATCAGATCAAATTTGATTGTGCGGAAATTGCAAAAACGCGACGAACTATGGACTGCTCGATAGGGGAGAACTGCGCAACGTAGCCAAGCGTGGTAAGGACCGATGCGTTTTTTTAGCGAACGGTGGCACCGCTGCCAGACTGGACGAACTGCACAATATTACCCCAACGACACCACTTTTGCCATGGAGCGAATCATTCGCTAGAATGAGATGCCGATAGGGCCCAGGACGGCCCCGGGGAACTCCGCGCGCCCCGCGACCGACAACTCGCGCCAGGGAGGGGCAAACTCGGAAAGCATGCAGGGAACGGGTCTGAGCGAGCAAAGGTGGCAGGGTTGGCGGCGTCCCAGAGCGGCACGACCACGCACTTGCGAGGTTTGAGAGAGAGCGAGGCGAGCCCCCCCGCGGAGGCGAAGGGCTTGGCAACACAGCTCACCAGCTCCAACTTGCTGCACTGGACCCACGGGTCGTCAGCGCGGGCGCCCGCGTAGCCGACGGACGGGCGCGCCGTCGGCTTTCTCGACGAAGGAGGCGACGTGGCGCACCAGAGGGTCCATAGCTATCGCCCATGCTGATCCATTGGCAGGGCAAACATGGGCGGCGCCCGAATAGATGGTGAACGCGACGTGGCGGATGCCATCAACCTTGGCAAACGCGGGCGAGGGGGAGTTCACGGCGCGGAAACTATTGAGCAAGTCATCGGGAATGCCGAAGTGCTTGAGCGACGCGGACAGCCAGGCCCTGCCTGGCGACGGGAACGCGGCGGCGAAGTCGAAGCTGGTGAAGATAGGGAAGTGGTCGATGCGGTCGACCAGGAAGGCCTGGCGCATCCCAGCATCGAGGCGACCGATGTGCCCAGCGAAGTTGCGGCCCGCGACCATGCCCTGCTTCGCTTCGTGAGTCCGCTGTGCGACGTGCTATTTCAGGGAGTGGTTGGCGGCGCCAGCGATGACTTTGACGCCCGCGTTCTTCAAGGAGAAAGGGCGCGTGTCCTCGGGGGCCCAGCGCGCTGTGAGCTCCCCCGCGGGGTTGTCGCCCTGCGGCGGAAAAGCGAAATCGGACTCGTTCAGGCCAAACGGGATCGACTGGCCCGAGCGGAGGATGAAGGAGAGATCACCCGGGATGTCGAGGGAGCGGTCGCGGGCGACCCACGCGTTGCACGGCAGGCGGGCGGGGCAGGCGACGACGGAGCGGCGCGGGGGAAGAAATCTCTGATCTGGCGATTGCCCAGGGCGCCGACGCCAAGCAGGTCGCCGCGCAGCACGCGCTGTTCGGCGCGCCGCTGGACCATGGAGTCGAAAACCACCTTCGCGGCGAACATGGGCCCCCAGTTCGCGCGCGGGGCGTCGACCGCGGCGCAGCTCTCTCCGGCCATCTCTGCGGGGCGGGCCCAGGGGCCCTGGACCTCAATGCCCTGCTGGACAAGAGGGCGCTTCCACGGGGCCAGAAGAGCGCGCGCTCCTGGAAGGCTGGGGTGGGCCTGCGGATACGCCCGAGGGGAATGGCTTCGCCCTGCCCCTGGGGGCAGCGCGCGGCGCTCTGAGCCGGAGAGCGCTGGCGAGCCTCGAAATCGCGGCGCAGGGAGGCCGAGAGGCTGGCGCACATATCGAGCCGCGCCCGCAAGACCTCGACCCCGCCTTCTGCCGCCGTCGGCGGATGCAGCGCGGAGCGAGGCTGGCCCCGCTTGGGCGGCTGCGACGGGCCCAAGCCCGACGCGCCGCCGCTTGCGCGGCCCCGCGCCGCGCCTGCGCGCGGAACCCAATGCCGCACAGCACGCAGGCGACATGGGCCAGCAACGCGCGCGCGCCCACTGTCAAACGCGCGGGGGCCGAGCACGGGCGCCGTCGCGCACGCGCGCCCGCGCTCAGGAGCGAACCGCGGCGGCGCCGGCCACCAGTGCCTCACGGGCACCCCCGTCAGAATCAGACTCGAGCACGCGCGCCTGGCGAGCACGGAGCGCCGCGGCGCGGGCGAAGGACATGTGGCCCCGCCTTCACGACCGCGCCCCTCTCCAGTTCGTCGAGGTCGAGATGCGCCAAGAAGGCGCGGGGCCGCCGCTCGCCAGCCGCGAGAATCTCGGCGCCAGCGTCGCGCCTGCCTCCCGGAGGTCCTT